CTTTTACTCCCACAGTTTTTAACCAATGATTTGATCAGCTTGAACAAASATAAAAATACAGATTGTAGTTGGTCAGAAGACATGATTTCAWCCTTGATCTATGTGAGTATTTTATGTCATGTTCGATATTTTACAGTTATTATTTACATTCTCTTTCTTAATTTTATTCATTTATTCGTTTCTTTTAAGGTATTAAATACTTCTGATAGTGACAATGTTAACATGGTCTGTGATAAAAAGAGTAATTTCCTTTGTGCAATTTTAAGGTTACTTGGAGCTAGACAGGTAAAATATTTTTCTATATCATTAGTCCTTATCAGAGAAGTAAAAGTAATGTTTCTGAAAAASCACACAGWAAAAATCAATCTTGTGTTTTGCAGAATGTTCTTCCTGTGGCATCCAAGCTAAGAAGTAGCTTTCCTGAACTTCTCAAAACTCTTTCTTCAAAATRTCTTCCAGGTATTTGACTTTCTTTATGATTATCACTGATTATCAATGTTTGAAATCTACTCATACAGCTCTGTCTTTAGATGGTCCATTGACAAAGATAGTTCAACAGTTAACAAAACAATTTAATATACAAACAGAGAAACCAAGCCGTGTTGAAGGTAATGGCAAACTTGTATGTGGTAAATTATTTTAATAAATAACATTTAACATTGTTGTAACTCCAATAAATTTGAATGACTTTTTGGGGGTTTTATTATTATACCAAATGATACTTAACTACCTGAATGATATTCAATAGACTCTTTCTTCTTTATATTTTTGTAGCCTCCAAAAGATTARCTGAAATTTCACAAGAAAAGTTCAATGATGAGTCAGTTGTAAGAGGTTTTATTTTGCAARCAAAGAAAGTATCATCAGAATTCACTATAGACACAGAAACAGCAGTGAAAGGTGAGRTTTTGCTACCAAAACATGGCTTGAGAAACAAATGATGTTTCTGTTATTTGTACTGTCCATTAAAATTACTATTAGTATTAATTATCTTAATTAATTTTATAAGAATTATATTATGATTTTTACAGCTTGCATGAATATCAAGTCAAAGAATCCTCAATCACTAGAACAGTTTTGTAAAGCACTGTTTAGTGTCATCATCAATCAGATTGGTCAACCTGAAGAGTCGCCATGGAATTCATCGCAATCTTTGCCATTGCAAACATGCATTCAAACCCTAACGTCGTTGTTACAAGATGAAAATCATGTTCTGAGTCGTGGTTTGTTTGTTGACTGGCTGGAAACACTTGACCCTGAAATAGTGGATGTACACCCTCTTCTGCAAAGGCAGATTTTATTCAGGTAATAAACAACAATAAAATTTCTATTCCTGGTAACACCACAAATAAAGGTTCAGTGTATAAGAACTACCAAAGGCTTCAATCAGGGTTGCATTCATAACCTGCTAGCTGTTTGTACTAATAACATTGATCTTTCAGTGATAGACCACATGTAGAAACACAAAACCGGTCRCTGACAACAAGCAGCAGTAATTCATATTTACTGGCATCACTTGCACATAACTCTAAATACTCCACATTGCAAGACTGTTTGGACTGGTTGCTAGGACAACATACAAACAGGTATAGTTGCTTTGACTCACAATATCTTCATGATAAAGTCTGATTGCTTATTGATCAAATATATAGCRGAAATGATAATTAAGCATCATTACTTTGGATTAGACTTACACCTGGTGCAGCTCTGGACTTTCTCTGGACATGTTACCACCTTCCTCGGTTATGGCAAGGACGGGAACAACGGTCAACAACTCATTCTGTATGTATAAAACATAAATCAAGAGGCAGTTGTTCACCTTCATACAACTGAACACAACTCCATATAGTTTTTCATCCTGTTTGAGTTTAAAAAAGAATATATATAGTCAATAATATGATGTAAATCTGCCATAGGTGGACAAAGAAGTGTTGTCTCTAACACAAGCACAGACCTGTCATGTTGCTTTGCTCATCTTATCTGAAATAGAGGATGCTGTCAAACAGTTTTGTGAAAAGAAAGGTTTGTTAAGATAGCTACTGATTTTATTTTGATTTAAATGACCTATGTGATTATCATTGAATAGGTGTTGATTGGGAAAACTTGTGCCAAGAAACAACATTGCCTGATGGTGAATTAAGGTATTACATCAATACTAMAACTATAATTGGTTGTTTGTTTGTTTATTGTCATGGTGATTGTCAATGATTTTTATGACTTCTTCTTCAGATCACAATTGAATAAAGTGATTCTAGGCGTAACTCAGCAAAGRATGCCACTAATGCTGCAGTGCTGTGTTGGTCAAGATCTTAAACCAATAGTTGACYACTCATCCAATGATCAAAGGTATAATGCAATATTTMCTTTGCTGTTGGGACCTCCRTGAATTTTCCTTGCTAGAATTCCTTTTAATGGTYGATATCTCACTCAATTTGTTATTATTGTACTGTCAAAGGTATCCTAAATGGCTAAGAGCACCATTCCTCATTCACCTATACCTAGCACATCCACACATATACARCGGCTTGGATAAACAGGACTTGTTTTCTTCCAGTGCTTTCACAGAAGCAACAGAATGTCAGGTAAAATACCATCAGAGGTGTTAAGTCCACTGAMTAACTTGCCTTTTRAATAACTTGCCCATTGCCCAGCTCACCAAATTAACAACTTACCCACTGACCAAGTTKCCTCAAAACATTTGTCCAAAGTCATATCATTTGCTATCAACTTACTAAGGAGCCATTTTGTATTCYTTTATWYAGATGGACAGCTTATGTCACTGTGCACTGACTGCCCTGGCCGACTGTAGACCAGGTCGTGAATATGAAGACAGTGCGAACACCTCTAGTTTGCTGTGTAGAAAGATTGCATCTACACATCCAATGCTGTTCTTAAGGTACTGTAAACGAGATGTTAAAGAGTCATTGTTACTTTTTGTTATATACGGTTGTCAGGGTGGTGGTTGTCATGTAGTTGTTGTTATAAAGTSTTCCCAGGTAMATTTCATGTTACCTTTRATAAGAGTGTCCTTAWATAAAGCTGGTCTAATTTGGAAAGCTGTCTTTATTGATTTGTGTGAGTATGGTATCTAATATTCCTTTATTACATTCAACAGACATCTTCCAATGATTAACTGTCTATTACGTGGTCGAGTTCATTTAACCTCTAAAGAGTTCAACATCAATCAACATCTGTTGTTATTTTCACATATTCTGGGAATCCTTGATCTACTGCGTCCTTATGTATTTAGCAATGACAAGGTAAATACTGGGCTGCCTGTGGCGCAGCTTCCTGTGTGTTCATCTCATCAATGCTGGCTTCTGTATACACCATTAAAGTAGAAAGTTGTCATTGTATTTTGTAAACAAGAATTTAATCAAATCTCTGATGATTGACAGAGAAGGGAAAATGAGATTTAAATTCAGGAAGAGATAACATTTCTCTTTCGTTTCAGTTCATTGAGGATAGTTTAGAAGACATGCTGACCGTTTACTTTGAACTGATACAGGTAACACAGATTACGCAATGCTTCTTTGATTAATAAACTATTAATATATCATTAAATTATTACAACAATTAATTGACAATTTATGATTTATTAGTTATTAATCATTTCTTTATTTAATAGTCATCATGTTTGAGTAGCAAAGAACTCGCTGGTGTTGTGTCAAAGTTTGCAGAGTTTTTCTATCATTTTTGTACGTCAAAACCTGACAAATCGTTTCCCATTTTACAAGCAAATGCAGCTGTGCTTCAGTGAGTAAAGTKAACGTCATTTATTTTCTTGTTTTACGTRGATATCTATTTCCCAATACCAGGTAAAATAATGCAACTTGGATGTTGTTCTCTTTCAGTGATCTKTTAAGCAACTTTCCGGAGTTGTCATCATTAAAATGCCTATCAAGYGCTTTGTCTGTACCCAGTGCTGCTCCACTGCCCAAAGGATCATTTCATTCAYTSATAATGCCATTAGAGACCTCTTCCTGGACACCAGCACAGTTAGCACCAGTTATACAACAGCTGTCACCTTCAGAACCATTACCAGGTATTTAATTTATTTTGTCGTTCAATATTGTGTATATTTGTATTTTTATTACTCTTTTGATTAATTAATTTATTATTAATTCATTCATTTTTGGTGATTAAAGTCATTCATTTAGCCGTTGATTCATTGATCAATTTATTTATCCATCTCCTCATTCCTTACATTCATTCATCCATTCAATTTTCCATCCATCCTCTCCACTATTATTCCTCTTACTCATTCAACATGGGATTGTCAAGATCAAGTGTTAAACTACTTATTTGCTAGTAACTGCGTTTTGTTTTTCAGACATAATCAGRGCACTAACTGATYTGGATGAGACGTCAAAGAGAAGAGTAGATATTTTACAACATTTTATGGTGGGTTGTGTTTGTTGTAGTGTTTTTATTGAGAGATAATAATCATGTTATATTCTCATTATAGGCTGAGTTGAATCGACTGACTACGAACCCCGATAACAGTGTGCGTACGAAGGCACATACACTAATCCAGAGACATATGAGGCAGAACCCAAGGTAATCTTATATTATATAAWAGCTTCCTTGGGATCCCTTTGGCAATCTTGTGTGTTAAAACTGTCGCATCATACTTGAAACAATGTCTTCAAAGACTCACAAAAACAGTACAAAAACAGTTTAGTCTTTATCCAGGTACAGAATAATTTAATCACGTTTTTTTTCAGAGACGCGCAAAAATTTGTTGAGTCTTTTATGGAATGTTTGACTTGTACATCACCTGACGTCACTCTAACTGCAGCCAAGTTTACACCTGAATTTATCGTCCTGGGTTGTGGTGAGTAGTGCTGTTTTTGTTGTTGTTTATTGCAATGATGAATGATTGATTGATTGATTGATATTCGATTGATTGACTGATTGATTAATTGACTGATTGATTGACTGATTGATTGATTGATTGATTGATTCATTTATTCATTGATGGGATGATTGATTGATTGATAATTCATTGATTGATTGATTGATTGAACGATGGATTGATTGATTGATTGATATTCGATTGATTGATTGATAGTTGATTGATTGATTGATTGATATTCGATTGATTGATTGATAGTTTATTGATTGATGGATTGATATTCGATTGATTGATTTCATTAGAATACTCCAGTCTTCTGCTTCAAAAGCTCTTCTCTGTAGCCGTTAATGAAAGACTTGACGTTGTGTCATCATTGGCGAGAAGTATCCAACTTTTAAACCTCGAATTCTCGAAATAGGAAACGTACAAATCCCTCGATATATTACTATATGTCTCGAATTTGAATAGTAACTTGTGCTGAAAATTCTAATGTGACTTTTCCTCCCGACCCATACCAGATCCCTACCAAGTTAATCTCTATTAACAACTGACAGACGACATGCCGAACATCCTGTTTAGTCTGTCTACTTCACATTAGTCAAATCTAAACCCATACAAACTGTCAAAACAGTGTTAGTTTATAATGTAAACAATGTAAAATTACAAGATCATTAAAAACACGTTGGTCTTAATAGTTGTGTTTTTATTAGCGATTTTTGCCTGTTTATCTTGAGTATATCAACACGTGAACAGGTTAACGCCCCTARGAATATCCTGTCACGCAATTTATACTTTCCATGTGTGGGGAGGGCCCCGGAAATGGTATGAACATGTATATACTGAATACTAGATTTTAAGGGGGCTGAAATCCTATATCACGTGCGTCTGTTGAGTCGTCAGTCAACGCAAGTCTGAACGCAAGTATTATAACCTGTTGACCCTTGGACAATAAATCAATTAGTGAACGCGAGTCATATTCTGTGTATGGACTTAAAGAACGCAAATCTGCTTGCGTCTTCAAYATCATCAGTTTGCTGTGACCACGTAAAGGTATTCTAAACATGAACGCAAAGGAAGGAAGATGTTTCTTGTGTCTCGAACAGGACAACAATATCAAGATATCTTTATGTGAAGATTGTGTTTATAATTTTGTGTGCAAAAGAGGCAGAAACGGAAATCAAGAATTGGAGGATCCTGGGAGCCTGATTCATCTTGAATCACTTAATGGTCACATTTCWAAAGAGAGCACTTTAAATGGAGTTTGTCATGGAGAAGACGGTGATTCAAGAGCAARCRGRGTTATGAGTGAAATCCATCTGGAAAACCAAGAAATTAAATTGTGTTCTAATTCTGAATATCTATGTACTGATGTGATGACGAAAGACCTAATGAATAACAAGAAAACAGCACTGGGAACTATGAATAAACTGRTGGATGAATTCCACRAGAWGCAGTCKGTTTTGAACAACAAAATCCACAGACTTAATCTGACCCTTGATCGAAACAATGAAGAAATTGAAGAAATAAAAGCAGCAATCCAAACCACGACTTTACAACTGAAAATCTTGATTACTGATCAAGAAAATGTGCTTTTGTCATGTCTGGATAGCTACTTTAGTCAAGTTTCTCGTCAAGTAACAAAACAGAAAACCGATTTACAGACAGCACTAGAAGAGGTCAACGAGAGCATTAAAATCACTCAAGAAATGCTTAGAAAAAAAGGTGAAACGAAGCCTGCACGTGTTYCACTGAGRGCCCACAAACAACTTATCAAATCTGACGATGATTGTGGWATAAGCGATGATGCTGATGYTCATGATGATGATGAGAGATCYGCTTTGTTACCAGATCCYCCTAACCAAAKGCTTATTCCAGAGACGTTTAGTTATTTGATGTCATTTGAAGGTCAGTTAGGAGAACCAGTGGGAGTCACTTCAACTCMAGATGGGTTGGTGTATGTTGCTGATTACAATAACGATTGTRTCCAGGAATTTKACCTTACTGGCCAAGTTATTCGTACACTTACTCATGTTACTGCTGAAAGTGGTCGTCAAACGCCATTTCTGTGCCCGACAGGACTAGCTTGCGATAAGACAGGTAATTTAGTGATAGCTGAACGTGGAAGACACCGTATAACCGTCATGTCTMCCGATGGAAAACTGAAGCACAAGTTTGGTAAGATGGGAAAAGCACACTCCCAGTTGCGTGACCCTCATGGCGTTACAGTAGACAGGATAGGACGCGTCATTGTAGCGGACACGTCTAATAGTCGAATCCAAGTCTACGACAAAAGCGGTGACTTTGTATTCGCGTTTGGAGACAAAGGAGAAGAAAAACTAGACTATCCTACTTACGTTGTCTTTCACAAAGGACACTTCTTTGTATCAGATACTGATAATGACGCAGTAAAAGTCTACAACAAGGATGGTTGCTACCTCCGTCGSCTGTCTGACCATGTAGAGGGGGCTTTCAGTGCCCCTTCTGGTCTAGCTATCTATCAAACAGAATACATCCTTGTGTGCGACTACAACAATGATTGCATTAAAATGTTTTCACTCRATGGGCAATTCATCTGTAAATTTGGTAGTACTGGGTCGGGACCTGGACAATTCTCTGGTCCTGAAGCAATCACTGTGTCACGTGACAATAGGATCATAGTAACAGACAAGAACAATAGCAGGGTCCAAATCTTTGAAAGTCAAATCTATTTCATTGCTTCAATATAGKAAGACGTCGTTCAAACCCGATAATTTACCATGATGACTTCAAGAACAAATTGATCAGTTAGATGACGCTAAAAAAACAACAATCTGATGATGATAAAAAAATCGAGTACAGAGCCAGGATAGTCGAACCCAATTGTCGCATGGATTTACATTAGGGGATAGGTTTCTTTAATAAAAGTACAGCTTTGAAAGAGTATGTGTATCATTTGTCGAATTAAGTATTTGCTGAACTCGTTCTTTTTCCTTTTCTAATTCATCTTCTGAGAACAATGAATTACCCCAAACCTACGTACTAATGCACTCCTGAAACCAGCTCCTGTCCACACTGTGAATTCCCCAACACAGGCAACCCAAGCAACAAAAGACCGCTGACAAAAATTCTGACATACTGTGGGCTCGAATMTCATTTTCGTGACMAGCAGAGGACAGTGCCTTCAATGTTGTCATAATCTAATTTTGCAGTTTTTTAGTCTCTTAGTGTACACCAAAGTTTGGTTTTGCTGCTTCAAAGATGGCTTCATGTCAAGGTGAGGTTTACAATGGCTTCCAAGCGGTCAAATATGCATTCAAACTGCCAGTATGTTTTCATTGATTTTCTACCGACGTTCGCATGCTTTTTTGCGTCGAAAGGCAATTTTGTCGTTCGTTTACCATTGGTATTTTTGCTTACAAGTTTAAATACGTATCTGTAGTAGATAAAAAGGAAAAAAAAACACCATATTTGCTTTCAAATTCAGTAGCATTAAAAACGACTGCTCTCGTTGAGGGGGGAAGAGCCCAGAGGGGAAGAGAATGATTTCTTTACTGTAGACCATTCTCATTTCACTAGAAAGGAATCTTCCAATTTTCTCGCATTAAATTAAGTATAACCTTAATAGTACTTTGTTCTAAATATTTGGTATATCTGGTGCGTATAAGACTAACGTTAAAGCTCAGTCACGCTACCATCTTGTCACGCAAGCTATTATTATGTTCTCTTGTGTAAACAATAACAAACCTGGTCACGCTRCCATTATCTCACAGCTWTTAATATGTATGTATCTGYTGTTTACTAATAAAGAAAAAAGCCTGGTCACACCATCACCTGTCATGCACCAGAGTCTGGTCACGCTACCATAATGTCACACAACATATTAACAAAGATTTGCTACAATTATAAACTATAACCCAGGATTTCCATTTTCTGTAGAAGGTCTTCGTGTAACGCTGTCCATCTTTTCTGGTCGACCTGATCCCAGCTGGCACATAACACCAAGTAATGAGCATTATGAGAAAATAACAACTCTCTTAAATGATGCGAAAAAAGCCGGCTATCTTCGCCGTATGCATGAAATGCCATCTAGACTGGGTTACAGAGGATTTGTAGTAGGAGAAAATCTGGTAATTGGACAGGAAACAAATGAGTTACAGAAGTTGTTAGTTTGCTCAGCACCTGACAATGTAGTATCAAGTCCTTTAAAGGAAAAAATCTTGGCAGCTTTAGCTGACAACTCTTCCTAAACAAAGCATTATGGACTATTATCTTAAACATCACCTGAAATATAACAGCCACCATTTGTTGGTATACAACAACCACCATTTGTTGGTATACAAATGCAAGAAACAATGCCACTGAATTTTTCAAATACATTTTCAAGAAAATTACTTCATCGTATGACTCTAGGGCCAGTGTGACTTGATAAAAAGTGTAGTTTTTGTTGCGATAGAGAGTAATGTATTTCTCATCAAAAATAATCTTTGATAATAGCTATTCCAAATTTATCAGTACAACCTCCCTTGAATATTTTAAATCAATTCTAAACAGATTACTAAACGATAATTAATTGAAAGTGCTGCACGTATGTATTGTTAATAGTTTGTGATAAATTTACTCTTGAAACCGCCCCGTTGGAACCAACATTAATGAAAAATACGTATTCTATTACTAAAGCCATAGTCTTGAAGAACAAACAGTCTTCCATCATCCGTTACGGCCACATCTACATACCGACAAAGTCCAAACTTCTCCGGCTCCTCCCCAAACTTGCTTATAAATTTACCATCCAAAGAAAATATTTGAATACCAAGACCTTTGCAATCACTGACCAGTAAGTTATGATCGCGGTCGATAGTGAGTCCACGCGGTCTGTGTTCGGCGGTAGGATCGTTGTCTGTCAGTTGTATGTTATACAAGAATATACCGTTCTCGTCAAACACTTTCACAACGTTCCCGTCAGAATACGATACAAAGTACCGTCCTGTTTCATACGTGATGTAAGCGGGCAACCGACCATTCTCAACATGATTAAAATGACGCAGGAATTTTCCATTTTCTGTAAACAGTTTGACTCCAGGGTTTTGTCCTCCAGCGCACACAGCGATCTGTCCTTTCTCTGTCACACAGATTCCTTGAGGGTTTTCCACTTCGTTTTGACCAAACGAGAGAGCGATGTCACGATCTTTAGAAAAGATTTGAATACGATTGTTCTCCGTGTCAGAAACTAAGATGTTGTTCTCAGAATCAAACGCCACGCCCGATGGCCATTTCATCCCACCCTTTTGACTTCCCTGAGATCCAAAATGGCGGAGATGCTTAGGCTGTTTCCTTTGACAGTCGAACAGTTGGACTCTGTGATTACCACTGTCTGCAACCGCAAGCTCGCCGCAGCTACTCGTAGCTATTGCACGTGGCTGTTGGAACATTTGATCGCTCGCTCCAGTTGAACCAAAGATGTCAAGAAGTTTGTATCTTTCACTGACCTCCAAGTGAAAAGGGCTTCCTTTAAGTGTTTTATCATTGATAGTCACTGATATGTCGTGACTTCCCATGTCTCTAGGGGTAAAACTAACAACATAGCGTCCGTCTTTGCGGTCGTCGATCTCGGTATTGATCAATTTTCCTTGTGGACCGCAAACCTGAACTGTCACGCGATCCCCCTTAGCGTAACACATTCTTCCCGATGAGCTGCCTGTAACGACAGTGAATTGTGACAAAAAGTTGGGATACCCCTCGTGTAGACCACGCCCTTCAAGTGTTGAGCACTCTATATCAGTAATACTCACGTGAACCCCGCCTAATTTGCTTGACTGGATGGTCTCGTCMACTGTGTTATCAACAATGTAAGACACTGTCACCACCTCGGSAGATTTRGCGGTTGATTCTTGTATGGCTTTGTCCATTTCGTCAAAACGTCTTGTTACAAAAGGAAATGTTTGAACAATTTCAGTGTCTAGATTTCTTTCAAGTACAGACTGACAAAACTCAATGCACTCGTTCATTTGACTCTTTTGGATCTCAAAGTGTTTTCTTTGAGCAGAAAATTTCCTGCTTTGTTCTTTGTGAATGTTATCTAGCTTTGCCATCATTTTCATCTCATGATTTTTTAATATTTCGATTAAAGATTCAATTCTTTTCTGTATCTCTCGTCTGACGCTGTTAATACTGCGCTCAAGTATTAATATCGCTTCATTGGCTCGTTTAATTTGCCTCTCACAAACAGGAAACTTTAGTTTGAGTTTTTTAATGCCATCGATAAAGTGAGGCTTCTTCTTCTCTGAAGCAGCAGCAAGAGGAACAAATTCATGACCTTGATGGCTTGAAATTGCGCATTTCTCGCAAATACATAAATTGCATTCGTTGCACAGAAATTCAAACGTTTGTTCRTCGTGTGTTTGTACTGRRCATCGTAGAGGTTTTCTTAATAAATCCCTCACATCTTTAGGTTGGAATTTATTCAAACGAACWGTTCGGTGCTCCTTTAAGATCTTCACCAAGTGATGAGCGTTAAGRCATTCCGTGCATAGGAACTCCGCGCATTGAAAACAATAGCATACAACCGAAGCCCGAACATTACAACTACCGCAGCTAGAAGACGAGTGTTGAGGATTCTCTAACAGTCTTAAATCCAGCARCCTTCGATGATGAAGCGATGGTGGAAGAGTGTCAGCGGTGTAAGGTGCGGGGATTTCAATACTTTTAGGGCATTTTGGACACTGCAAGAATGCTTGGCCATGGCGAACTCTGACCAACTCCTGGACACACTCAGCACAGAAAACATGTAAACATGGCAGAACCTTAGGAGATTGGAAAGGCCGCGAGCATATTGGACAGTTTATGGTTTCTTGACTGTCGTAAACGGATTCCGTCTCGCAATATGAGTCTCTAGTCGCCATTTTGTTTGTATGAAGTTGAGAGGGGCTGGGCTCAATCAAGGGAGGGAGTGGATTCTGATTGGCTAAAATAGTCGTCATTTTTTGAGTTTGTCGCGACGAAGAATCACGCGTAATGTTGTGTAACAGATGTTATACTTATATAACCACAAATCACAAAATAGTAGCATTATCTCATACTCACTACTCCCTTGAAGACTAAACACAGGACCCCTGCTTCGTAATCTTTATTAAATTGTGGACTTACATTACATTATTMTGGAAGGATTCGACTTAATTGTTATTTCTCTGTTATTTTCCTGTAATTTTCTCTGATACTTTATTTAGRTTTTTTTAAAGAATTAGAGTGGACTCAATTAATCCATGTATTGATAACTCAATATCACCTTATCAAATAAGAATGRCAGATGGTGCTTTTAAAGCTTTCTTCTAGCTGATATTCTATCGTCCATACAAAAGGCATGGCACTAATGGAGCAGCCGCTGCCCCAATGAAGTTTTCATCTTGTTTTGTGGGTTGCTGTGTTGATAAACCTTCTCGTCGTTTACGAGCTTCCTCTTCCAGACACTGAAGAAAWCACATCACGTGATTAGTCATAATGACAAGAATAGACGTTTACTGATCACATCAAGGGGGTCATTTGAGCATGCGTTATTTCGTATGCTGTATGCTTTCTGTGATTATCCCACATGGTAGGTTACATAACAGCAAAACCTTGGACACTTACCGCAATTCGATCAATGAGATAAATAAAGAAATGCATGATAGACAGCAGAGCCATCACAAAGGACATAACAAGAAACAAGCTCTGTGCTCCTTTACCCTCAACTACAAAACCACTGACCAATGCACCTGTTGCCATACCAACGCCCCAATAGGMACCATGTAGTATACTTTGGATTAATTTAGTCGCGCCTGTCGTGGAATGAATATTTTAATCAGTTTAAAGTGTTCTTTTTTTCATCTTCATATTACTATGATAATTTTGCAAAAACCTCCTTTTTGCTTCAGTTTCATAAAATTGTCGTCACAAACATATAACTCATATCTAAATCTTTTCATAGTGATTATTGTTGTATTTAACGTGAAGAGCTGTGTCTTACCTTCTGGTGCTTTGATATACATGCCAGCCACTGTCCAGACCCCACCGTACGTCATTCCCTGGACTAATTCCATAGGAATCACCAACCACGGATGCTGCAGAGACCCATACATTAGAAACCTTACTGTATAACATGCTATAGCAATAGCTAGTGTTCGTTGCGTGCCTATTGCTTCTATAATGTAACTTAAGACAAAGTACATCACTACTTCTGAGACACAGTACACYAGTATCATGAAGGCAAACAAAGCAGGTGTGCCGCCAATRTCCTGTAGAAACCAGAACAGAAAAGTGATTTGCACACTGTGTGCGAAKCCAAGAGTAAACATGGTGAACAAGAAGAAGCCATAGCGAGGTGACTTGAATATCTTGACAGCTTCAAGTAATTCATARTCGTYTTCACCATCTCGGGCTCGTTCAGGTGTCTCGAATTTGAAGAAAAAACTGACAATAACCGTTGCACCAATGGCAGCAAGGAAAATGTTGAAACAAGGAWTRTAGTCAATGGTGTCTGTGTATCGACAATTTGATATGYTGGACACCCAGAYAGCTACTAATGCAGCCGATAAAGCCAGACCAAGACACCCAAATAACCTTTGTTTTCCATAGTCATTGTCAGTGTYAGCCAGGGAATRAATGACWGCGCTGTCAGCTAGCATGGGTGTGGGTGTGGTTATTATCTCCGTCAGAATAATTATAACAGCAAGTGTACGAATGATCCAATAATTGTATTGGATACGGAAGTCTTTGSYTGGTTTKGGGCTCYTTTCWACCCGTATTAGGAAAGGCATCCATTTTGAAGTGTCGTCGTTGGCGTCATCTTGACTGGACAAAAAGTTTGCTTCTTTGTTGTGCACTTCATTGTTAGTATCGAATTCTGGACGTTTGTCTGCACCTTTGCTAACTGATTTCATTTCATAAAGAATTTGTTTACTCACTGGCCTTTTTAGCTTGACATTCTGAGATCTGATTGCATTAAGTTTATAGTTGTCTCTCTGTGATAATTTCAGGATGGAATCGCGTGAGTTAGAATAGGCACTGCGTTTGATAACTTTGTTATTGTGAAAAGGTTTGAAGTTCAGTTTGTGTTCTGGATATGAAGACAAATCGAACTGTCTTTTGCCCCAATCGCTTGACGCCATTCGAAGCAATGATGCATTTAGTGCAGAGKTTATAGTACTTGGCATGGAAGYATTTCTAATGTAACATGGGGTATTATCAGGAGCTACCAGAGTTTGGCCATAATAACCAATCAACCAACCAAATATCGAGATAAAGTATACAGCTTTTGGCCTGCTGTACTTGGCTGTTACCATCTTCCAAAGTGGAAGGCAAATAAGCTTGACTGTTGGACGCAGCGYAAGTAGAATACCAATTTGACTYGGTGAAAGCCATAAYTGTTTATAGTACAAACTGAAGAACGGAAATAAAGCTCCTAGAGCCGTGTAGAAAAAGAAATAGAAGAGTTTCGATATAATAAAGCTCTTGTCAATGCTTTGAATCTTTTGTAGTAGTTTTCGATGGAAAGGTTGATTGGTTTCTGATGGACTTTCGCCATTAATTGGCTTGTAGGAACTTTCAATCATATCTCTTTCCTGTCTGTTCCCTGTAACCAAGTAGTGAGATCTTCTAGAGTCACTTTGTTAACCACCATTTTCCTTTTGTAAGCGTTTCATCTCTGTCTATTCAATGGTAAGTCGATATTATGGTAATATGTTCATGTATGCAGTTGTCACGGGGAACAAAAGGACTATCCAGGTATGACAGATGCATCTACAAACAGTATGGCTTCATTGATTTCATCATCATAAAATTGTTTTTTGTTAAAGCTTTTGGAGACCTTATTTATGAAATGAAAAAAACCCTGAAATTTTCACTTYTCTCAATCACTCTTTACACTTCGCGTTCTAAAATTATGAAATGATTTTCCTAATTGCTCACAAAAAGAAATTCAATGTCATCAAATGACATTTATTAAACTTTTAATTTGATTTAAATGATCCTCGCTTTATTACAAAATAAAATATGTCTTTACCACCATTGCGTTATATTACGAACACCTTTACTATACCTTTGGGAATTTTTTATTCTGTGGACACTTCTATATTACGCATGGACACCCACATTGCGCGCACTTGATCTAGCTATTAAATAACATATTGATCTATGAATATATTATCAAAATCAATCCATTGATGTTTAGAGTATGGCCCTCCGAGCATTTGAAATGCTAAGTTCTTAAATTTTCATATWTTGGCTTTTCTTAAAGTTAATTTTTTTCGACTCYCTGTCTCCTTCCTTATWTAATTTTCAATATTTRAMATTTYATTCAAATTTCTGTTAATCTTTGCTTTTGTTTTTCTTGTCCTTCTTTTCTTCCGTTGATACCTCCATGTARCCCGAGTGAGTTCTATCGTACAAATTGTTTAAAGTAAAGAAGATGATAAGAATTCCCAACGAAAAAGCGGCCATTAGCCTGAAGGTTGWGCGAGCGCCAATCACATGAACCAGRAAACCACCAACCACTCCACCAACGGCAAACCCTAGTCCCCAGTAGACTCCATGGATGATGCCTTGAATGGTTGCGCCGGAGCCTAGGGACGAGAAAAAAAGAAAAGATATTCATTTCTCATTTTGTCGATTCTTATTCTCAAAATTTTCTTTCTTYCTTAATTCATTGGTTATAATTTTCACTGCAGCTTTAATGTTGGGTAAATATCATGTCATCATGTGTTTTAACACATKTACACATGTGTACATATAACTGTGAAAAATGCCAATCAACCCCACCCTWGAAACACTGAATTATTTTATCATAAAACTACCGTTACATTTCGTGTGCGCAACGACAAGTTAGTGAGTCGAGACCAACTATTSCTGGTAAATGGGCATAAAAATCAAATAAAARCCAATTATTTCCAGTAATCTTTGTTCTAGTACCTGGTGACGAGGTAATATACGACACACTTGCTGTCCATACCAAACCATAAGTCACACCTTGTARACTTTCAATGGGTAAAACATACCAAGGGTGTTCAATRTAAGAGTACAGCAAGTACTTGACAGCATAGATCCATAACCCTGCATACAGTACGGCATCATGGCCGAGTTTTCTAACGATGTACGTAGCCACAAAAAACAAAATCACCTCCGACAATGAACTGACAAGCTGAATCAGCGTGAAAAGGATTGGAGTGCCACCGATGTCTTGTAGAAACCAGAACAGAAACGACAGTTTGAGACTGTAGAAATAACGACAAGATGTTAGTACATTGTGGAATTCTCAGTAGCCCCTAACTTATACATCGATATTTAAGGTTGTTAATATTTCAAATTTAAATTTGGAGAAGCTTATTCTTGAATAATCTTTACTAAAGATGATTTCAAAATATTTGAATGATTTCGTTGTGTTTTAACGAGAAAAGCGCAAAAATCACATAAAATGACCCATAATGCACCTGCGATATATGATGTTAGCGTCGAAAGTTTTCAAATGCCTGTAACAATAGTCTTGAATTGTAGTGGGCGTTTTTGATTCACTCACATTCATGTAAAAACTGTTTTCCTTTTTAACTCTGACGATTTTCAAAATCCAAATCTATATTAAACATATTAACTATACTGTCAATAACATCATAATGCCGTATTTTGTTATCTAGTACGTTTCTGTCGCTCACACGATTAACCTATAAAAAAACATCTCAAACTAAATATAAATTGCTTTATAAAAGTGGTTTTAAGCAAGATAAAATTGTCATCGATCACACGTTTATGTAGATTTAGGAGCTTTCGAATTGTAAGAACGAGATTGATGTCATGGTAACTAAGACTGCAAATGCTGAAACTTATTATTTTGTCGCCTTATGTCACGAAAAGATCTCCTTACCTGTGMAGAAATCCAAGAAAGAATAATACGAAAATAAAGGCGGCATTTTTTACGTTTTTAAAAAGCATTAATCCTCGAATACAATTCTGCGCTCTTGAKTCATCGTGATGGCTCTCATGAGAACTAGTGAATTTAAAGAAACATGTAACAACGAACGCCAAGAACATAGCCACAGCAAAAACATAGAAAACTGGAACATAGTTGATGTTATCAGAGTATGGACAGGAATGAAACGCTGTWACAATAGCWCCAGACAGTAATGACCCGAATCCCCATCCAAAAGAACCAAATAGTCGCTGCTTTCCATACTCGTGTTCACGGCCAGTAAGGAGGTTYAATGTCCCGCTRTCMGTCAACATGGGAGCTGGTGCAGCTACCATCTCWCCAAATATGATCAATATTAGTAAAGTTAGATAAATCTTCTTATTGTCTCTTATTCTGAAATCATGGCTCGGCTTTGGGGATTTTACTTTTGTATTTTTAATCATAATTTTCTTTGCAAAATGTATATTTTTTCTCTTGTTCGTTTTGCTTTCCCACATGGCGGGCTTCCACATYGATGGACCTTGACCCTTRTCTTCATTTCCCAACTCGTTTTCCTGATTTCTATCATATAGAGGAAACCTAGGCTCAAGTTCTTTAGCWTTATCAATCACAAAGTCAGGTTCGTCTGCAATYAGTTGGTTGATAGATCTTGTTTTAACAGAAACAACACTCGTTGTGTTCTTTTCATAACATGGCAGAACAAACGGTGATACAATGCTTTGAGACCAATGAGCGACCATTGTACCAAGAACTGAAAAGAGCAGTATAAGTTTTGGTTTGTGGAGATAGTCTGTTAACATACCCCACATTGGTGAGCAAAGCATCTTAATAAAMGGTCGAATACCRAGGAGAATTCCCGACTCTCTCGCGTTCAACCAKAGCTGCTTRTAATAYACACCAAGGTATGGTAGAAAGGCGCCCATTGCCATGTAGAAGAAGAAGAACGAGAATTTCGGAACTATTAAATCCTTGTTGACTTTRCTACAAGATGTGTTGGAGTCTGTGGCTTCATCTTGCTTCAACGACGYCTTTTCATCWTGCGATTTCCCTGTTTGTTCTTGGTTTTTCTCACTTTTAGTCGCCKTCATGTTTTCAGATATCTTGCTGTTCCTCTTTGAATTCGTGAACCAAACACATCAACTGTATTTTAAGGGAGCAATTAATGCTTCTTTTGACAAGTAAATTGCTATTATGAAGTTGCTTTTTCTAAGTTCAGTTTGAATAAATTATTTCAAACCATATATGCATATCGTGTCACCTCTGTGAAAGCGAAAATAGAAGTAGTTACGAACGCGTCCTATTAGACTGTTGCCCGTTCGTAGGGTTGTATAGGAACAGCTGACCCACACACTTTGCCTGTTTATACATTAATATGTTGAATATTCACAGTTTGTGAGATAACATTGCAACCTCTTTTGTTCTTAATGATATTGAATTCAGATATCCTTTCCATCAGATGTTTTCACAAACGGTTTCTTTTACTTGTGGCTTTTGAATCAAAAGTACATTGAATTCTAAATTCAAGGTTCACAAAATTGACTTTATGAATGACACATTKATGTGCCATTGCCGGGGTTACGATAAACTTCAACAGGAATGCACGGCGCACTATAACTAAGGAACACCATTGATGTTCGCGTGATCGTTTAAACGAGAAATCATAGTTTAATGATTTCCTATTTACTTCTACTAAATATATCTTGACAAAGAAGCAATTCTACAAAAAGTGGTTACTATTCTCTTTCAAAAGATAGAAGTTTTTTTTTTGTACAATCGTTCCTAAAGGGTGGATATAAACTCAATTGTCTCAATGTCGGTGCATCATGCGCGCCAGTCTGTCTTCATCAAACCGAGTACATTTATGTAATACTGGATATTTGATATAGAAATCGCGGTGTGATTGATTGATCATTAAACTTATAGACATATCAATGATTGCACTCTCACAGTGAGGTACCTTTCATTTTCAGCAAGATTGTTTTGGTAATATCTTTTATTCGATAGTTTATAGTACATTCCACAAAAGAATACTTTTTCATTGGTCGAGAGGAACGCAATTACAGCATTAATTGTACTCCTTATTTTGTTTTACTGAATGTACTATAAACAAAAAATCGCACGACCTTGCGTACAATTTAGAATTAATAGTCACGAGTAATGTTGTGAAAGTTCTTCGTAATTGCACGAGCCCTATACTAATACTTTACAGCTGTTTGAATTTCATTATATTTTCAATTTTATTTCCATTCATTCATTTGAAGTATAAATACTTTTACAAAAGTGGCATCTGAAGTTTGGCTGACACTTAAAACTATCTAAATTCAAAACTACCACTTTTAAGTGTATGATAAAAATTGAAATAAGTTAAAAGAATTTGGCTGTTCAACAATGGACAGCTCTCTATACACTTATATCGATATTCAATCTATAAAGTGTACAAAATTTATAAACAATCACCATACATTGACCACTGTTAACAGACTACCATTCTTTTGGACCCTCTGGGATTCCTTGTTACTCTTACGTCCGAGTGAGACTTRGACCTTGCTAATTTTTCATATAATCCTAGTCCCTCTCGGTTACGTGAAACAGGAAACCCAGCGTCAATATAAAGAAAACGTGTCGAGAAGTCGCCTGCAGACTTGGTTTCTCATGTCTGGTCATTATCTAGTCTTATTATAAATTCTTCTATAGCAAGCAGTGCCTGCCCCTTATATTTTAGTTATGTAAGAAGTAAAAAAATGGCGGATATGGTGAGCGCATCGCAAAAATGTGATTTATGTGGTTCATTTTTTTTTGATTACCAAATATGGTTTGTAAAAAGGTACGTTTGACAATGGCTGACGTTCCTTTCACCCTCTGCTCAGTAATTCTCGGACTGAAGGGAACGTTAGAGACTGGAGCCTAAGAGTGTCATTGTTTGTTCATGCATTAATATCATTTTTAGAAAATTGAATGAATTGTGAATTCCTCATATTTGTATAATTGTTCTTGGACATTTGTTCAATAATTTCAGCATTCCATAATCTACGATAAAACAAAATAATGGTTAAGTTACATTTACTATGAATAGCACCTTTATAGAACATATCTTTTTTTGTCAGCGCATAAAGTGGGTATATTTTTTTATAGGTTCCTATTTCCCAGACACCTTTATGCTCTATAAAAACTCTCAATTGCRCAAATCGTTGGATTACAAAGCTCAGTCTATGAACCCCTTTAGAAAGAAGATTTTGCACTGTGTTGCTATCTTGTATGTACTTACCGTAATTGTTATTGATAGGCAATTCCTTGTTGTAACGGCTGTAAAAAGAATGGGCCATCATTACGTTGAGGAGACAAACCAGCTGACCCCTGGAACAGAATGATGGTATTAATGATGATAGGAATCATATCAAGACATGATGATGATTAGCGATGTTGATGACGATGACAACTATACTGAAAGGTGACATGAGATACATGTATGATGATGATGATGATGATGATGATGATGATGATGGTGATGATGATGATGATGATGATGGTGATGATGATGATGATGATGATAAAAACTTACCTCTCCCATTTTTGTCTTGGCAAATTCAATTCTTATACCTCCCTTTTCGGAAGATGGCGGAATGTAGCTGAAAGTATAAACACTATTACTAGTCTCATTCAGGTTAAATTACTATTTAATGATGTTACGTCGTACCCTTGAAAGTATTGCATTGCTTGTGTAGCCAGTATTTCATTTTGAAATTCAATAAAACAGACGGGTGAGTTGCCTTTATTGTGCATTTTAAGTCTACGAAATCCTGGGAGCCTGAAAACCATAATAAATGCGTGTTAGTTTTGTTTGTCGGTCAAGATATCTTTTTAGATAGGAATAGGAAAATCCGCGTTCAATGGAGTTTATGATTAGTACCTTCCAAATAAGTTGTTGAGCTCCGACTCTGTGCAGTTTTTACCAAGGTTAGCGACGAAGAGTGTGCTGCAAGGAGGGTTTCCTGCTGCTATTGCGGCTGCTGCCATGTGCTGTAAGGCTGGATTGGGTGCTGYTGGGGGTAGGGGGGAATGTAGAGGAGAGGGTAGGGGTGAGGGTATTGATGCGAAACCTGGGTGATGCTGAAAATAGATACAATCATCAAGTTTAACTATTATGAATTACTGCTCGTTTTGGGATATGAAATGATTTACAATAATAATACCCATAATATTAATTAACAATATATATATAATGAGAGGTGAGGGTGGACTATCATCTCGTTACTTCTAACCGTCCCCTCCCCCCTCGGTACAGCTAAACAGAGATCAGTAGATGAACGTGCTTTGTTAGAATCACACGTGACAGTGCTATGACCTTATAAGGTGTGTACCTGAAGTTGAAGTGCAGTGGGGTGGTGGGCAAAGTTGTGCTGCGCAACTTGAGCCTGCGCTACTGCAGCGGTCATTAGGTCGTTGATCAATGGACTAGAAATGATTATAAAGATCAAAGAATTATTTGATGTGCAGACTGAAAAGTGCATGCATGAAGCTGTGCCAATGTTAGGAATCATGACCTGGTTTAGTGCACATCGATCTAATTAATACGTCTCTTTAATCACTACYGTTAATACTTTTACTTGGTTACGATATCGATCATTTAAAATTTATTTTGTTTGCTTTATTCGGTTCTTAGTTTACGGACACATTTGGCTTCATAAATACATTTGTTCATCATTTTAATTAAACGTTTATGAAAAGAAGAAAAGAATTGGCAGCTCATAGCGATAGTCAGCGATATCATAGCTATATAGCAATATTAAACTGACTAGCCTCGCAATCATGTGACATCAGTGAGAGGCTAGTAAGTCAAAAGTATTTTTAGCTGTTCAAATCAACTCGTTAAGTCAGATAATATTATAAAGTGCAGGTTAATGAATTGAGCATGTGCAATGGAGAACAACAATACTGTACCACATGGTTCGTTGAATACTTGATGTATGTATACTTACGCCTGATATCCAAGGCTTGGCTCGTGTACAGGAAAAAAACTAGTCCCAATATAATCAGGGGTCACTGAATTAAGACCATATTAAATCAACGTTAGAAAAGCGCAAACAACTCGCTATACAAAACTGTCTACTATTTCTTTGCATCAGCTAATATCTATTAGTAATAGATCTTATTGTTATTGTTCGTGTAACTTCGTTTTGTCACTTTTGCGTCCATCATAATTGATGTATAATTTCGTTATAACATCGTTCTATAAAAAAGTAACTGATGTAATTCCGTAGTAGTTGGCATTTGTTTCACGTATATTCTCTCTGTTACTTACTTATAGGCTCTCTGTAAGGTATCCCAGTTGTCAGCACAGCTTGTTTATTGGTTGGTTTGCTGCCTTTAGTATTGGATTTAGCAAACTCTAGTCTAAGAGTCTGTGCAACGTCGGGATCGAAACGGACGCCCTAAACAATGCAATTGACCGCATCTAATTTAATTTCAATGTTATTTTATTTTATTAAATGATATTATTGTCATTATTACGGTCCCTCCCCTCCCATAGCCGCTGTGAGTTATTAAAAGAGTCATTTGAATGTGTGTAACAAACCTGTAATTCTTCTTTTGCTTCTTCAGCGTTAGATTTTTCCTCGAACGTTACAAACGCAACCGGCTGAAGGAGACGAACAACGAGTGATAATTAGATAAATTGCATCGATGTTTTTTTTATGTAGATAGYATTGATTTTTTCTATTGATATTGTTTTGTGATATTGTTTAAAACTATACTATTCAGTACTGTAAGTTATCGCACTGTTCAGTGTTTTACTATGTCAAAGGACGCTCACTTATGAACACGATTCTAGTCCCTTTCCTTCCTGCCCAGCCCAGCCCAGCCCTCACTGATGTAAAGCTGGGAMCGAGGTTGCTTTCCCCTCATCTTACAAGTTGTGAAATGGCACACATGATTTAACATTAGATGGATCAGTTTAGGTTAACATTAAATGACAATTATGTCACAGATGTACTTACAGAAGTTTTGCCCTGCGAGGATTATGAAGAGAAAAGGAAAATATGAATAAGAATTACTTTAAAGATGGATAAATTATATTAACCTAATGAATTAAAGTATTTTACCATTAATTGATATTARTAGTTTGACATATTGCGGATAGATTATCTTAAAACTTTGAATGACAGACACATGACGTCAGGTATTCTTCAAAGGCATTCTGGGTAATATTGAGAAGTATTCGGTTAAACAAAAGACAATGTTTTGTTTGTTTTGTCGAGTTTGTGTTGTTAAAACGTTGTATTTGTACAGTTAGTAATTGTATGAGATACAGTAAAAGATAGGATTTCTAGATGTACTAACGCTTTACCTGTTTGTCTGTTAGTTTTAATAAAGATCCTTCATAACCCTAAAAGTARAATATTATTAGCTTAACATTTGGTATTCAATATTTTGTTATGCTATACGAATCTTTTTGGCTGCAGCGCAAAAGGCGGCGATTARCGCCAAATGCGTGCGGMATCGACAATGACAATACTTGCAACAGGATTTTTAAAATTGTTTAAAACATAAAAAAATATCGAAAAACATCGTAGGCATGTCAATTCCTTGTAAAACGGCTCATTGAAACACCATCGAGAATACTACATTCGTTTCTAAGGAAGGAACTTCAACCTTCCAGCATATTTTTTTATTATGATATTTTATAAAACTACCAAACATAACAAAGTCATTCATACACTAAAAAACACAACAATCGTATTCTATCCAGTTTCGTCCAGCTGGGATGTGCGTCCCCACATTGGTTGGAAAGGAATCTTTTTGACTGGCAGTAATAAAAAAAATATTTGTATAGTTCATCTCAAACCATTGGGTGTTAATTTTTGGTGATGAATGATCCAATTTCTAGTTGGAAAGTTAAAGGGTTTGTCGAGTATTGAGAAAGTGACCCGCCTTCTTTATCTTATTTTTCAAGGAGTTTTCGCATTCACTTGGAACAATAACGATATTTTTTGGATGTGATAGATATTATCATCATAGACAGTAAAAACTATTTACAAACCAAACTGTCACAACAACCAGTTCCATCAACAGGTGGAACASAATGTCACTTAAGACAATTTCATTTCCAATAATAATTCTTTATTGTATTATAGATCCTAAATTTAGTAAAATCGACACTTTAAAACAAAACCCTTTAATTACACTTGTAGTCATGCTGRTTATTGCTAATCAAAAAGGTCTTCAGATGACCAAAACAATTCCCTTTTATGGTAAGGATAAAAGTAGTTTTTCTCCGGTCATTTAATTAGCTCAAAACCGCACTAAGTGTAATAAATAGACGATATTATTGATACTGAAAGATAATTTAACGTTATTAAAGTTTGTCTTCTACATACTTCACTCAAAATGCTATGCGTGCACCCCCGCTGGGACTATAACGAACACTTAARCCCAGCCAACAGTCTGTTTTCGTTATGTCGTTTTAACATGTTATTACGTCTGACAGAACTGAGAGCAAACTTTAATTTTTTATGACTTACACACCTTCTCGGCGCAAAATGTYAGTATATAATTKTGGTAAACGTTGTGAAYTGAGACTCAATTTGTTTTCAATCCAYGACTTTTTATAGTACATATAAAAAGATGTCTCGGTTTAGGGGTTTATTCCTTATAACAAAACCATACTCAAGTGGATAGAAACATCCACTCAAAATACGTCGTGTACCGTTCAACCAAACCCTTGAGTTATGAAACCTTTTTATGAATAAAATATTGGCATGAAAAGTTCTACTGAAGGGTTGCATATCTACCACAATGAAGTGTGTAATTTTTTTAAGTATTATGTATTTGTTGTCATAGTATCTTTAAAAAMAACAACAACATTTTTTAACAGTCCATAGATACACACAGTCCAGAATTGTCTGTGAATACAATCGATGAATACAGACCGGAGGACGATAATCGGTCTACAAAGTGGGCTGGGAGCTGGATATGGTTGGTTGATCCTATTCTACATTTATATCAGAATTTACATTTCTAACGACAACAGTTTACAGAATTACCATAAACTTCTCAAACTAAGCTATCAATTTGCCTATATTTGACAGAGTCTAATATCATTTAGGCAATCCATGGTGTCATCAGCTGTACTTGATCAGTTTTCGAGATTTATTCATTTTAGCCACAATTTCCGACTATAATGAYARACACAAAATGCCGGTGCTAGYACAACACCAACTGAGTRCTYATGAAAGGCGAAACTACTTAAATTTTCTTAACCGGTAGTTACGTTTTTTCCTCGCACCTTTTTGAGTTAAAATGTCAGTCCTTATTGATAAAAGCGAAAAATTTATCGGAATAGCGTCTTTAAGCCCTGAAGCATAAAATACTTTAGAGTCGACTGAAATATTGTGGAATTTTTCCCGGATTCTTCTATTGTATCTATAACAATAATTTACCAACTGACGATAAATCCATGATTACAGGTTTAGTTGAATAAAAAGTTTCGAGATGTTTGTTGACATTAGRAATCAAAACTCTCTGAAACTCTCGATCAAACACTGGCTTCATTTATATCTCGTGCATTGTTAAGGAATTTTGTTGTTTGAAATCTGTCTGTGCTACCCCACGGCAGTTCTGTCAAATAAATTCAAACAACTCCACACTGTTAAACGGTTAACAAGATTCACTCACAATGGACTCCGATAATCCGTTATCAGGAAGCCAGTTAAGTGCTACTTCGTAAGCTCTAACAAGTTCTTGTACAAACATTTTGAACAACGAGCAAATACTGTAAGAACAGCTTTGTTTGAATGTTTGCATTGATAATGACTTTAAGAGTTGAGGACATTAGTTAACACAATAAAACACGACCTTACACCCTTTTCGAACTGTCTTTCTCGATGGAAATCTATTGAACACGAATCCATTAGAGCGTTAAAACTTTAAATCTGAACTCTTGGGAATTTATCAAGGAATATTATCACTATCTATGGTGAATTTACAGTAAAAATGGGTCTGTGATGCGTTGTAGCAATGTTGTAAATACTTTGACCTTGATATTATCGTGATGTTTGTAACGAAATACTGTCATACACACATCATATATCACTTACAATCCTATTTATCACATTAACATAACCTACTCATCGAGATTACCAACTAGATAAGCGGTACTTTAACTCCTAACTCTTCTCCTCTCGTCATGAAAAATTAATAACAACAGAAGCAGGCTTTTGAAGCCGAGCCGGCTTTAAAAATGACAATTTGCATATCTTAGAAAAGCGTCTCCAAATTCGTACCTTATAACCACGGAATAGTAAGTAAACCTCTCTGGGCTTGACATCTATAGGYAGACCGCTAACGAACAGTGTTCTTACCTAGACGTAAAATAATMATCGTAAACATACAGCAATACTGGGCGTGAGRGCCGGTACAAATAATGTCAAAAAATGTTAAAATACAAGCTAAAATTTACCAACCTCTTCTTCGCTAGAGTTGACTTTTGTGTCGTTGGAATTATTTTCGATTTCTGTCATTATCTTAGTTAAGTTCTGTGTCTTAGCGTGTTTAGATCAGTGCTTTGTGTGATAGGTGCTGTTCAGGAGTTCTCTGAACTTCATGCCAAACTTCGGCTGTATTCACTGTAGTTTCATTATGGACAGCTGCGATTCATGAAACAGGTAGTGCGTGACGTCAGAGACTAATTCCTACTGTGTGACATTCCATCGGTACAAACTCGCAGCGGGATACTAGCGTTACCATGGCTGCAGTCTTTATGAACAGCGGGGGTCTGGGAACTAATACAAAAAAATCTATTCAAATCGAGGCCAAGGTATCAAAAGGTAAAAATTAAGATAAACAATTTATTGAACTAATGATTCCTGCCTGAACATATCGGGAAATTCAGGGAAGTCTACCACGCAATACACAAATATAAAATTTTCAATATTATTCATAGAATAAAAATATTTTATTACTTAAAGAATATTAAAAAACATTTGATGTAGTAGCAACAATTTTAGAGGTCAATCTTTAAACTTTATTAGTTTTCTCGTTCAATTATTTTTAAGACATTTAATGTGATTTMATAAGAAACTTTTTTCCTCAGTGATTAAAATGTGGGAATTGTTTCTGCCAGTGATGATTGCGTTTKAACGAAGAGCATCATAAGATAAAACTATGATTAGAGACTTCTAGAAACATTGTGTCTACAAAACCAGAGCAAACAAGTGATGATGACGTCATTTAAAAATGCTGATGAACACACAAGAGTCTTTTATCAGCTTTTATATTAATAAATAGTTTTGTAAAATAGTRAAAAATAAATAATATTATATTGAAATGTAACGATTGTTGACGCGTTTGATATATATCGAAGTGTCTATCGTAGTTTATTGATAGACAAGTTTGCCAGTCACGTGAACATACTGACTAAATAAATGATAATAATTAACTTTAACCAAATGTTTTTGTTGTTATTTTACCTAGTCTTGCATCGTTTCAACACAAACACTWATAATACTTTCTACAGTTYTATTTGAGTTCCTAAATGTTGAAAATATTTTTTACAAGTAAGAATKTTGTAGGTCAGTCATGGTCCTTGGTCGTCGACAAGTTAAGGCACGTCAAATACGTGTTAGGTAGTGGTGCATTAAAGCTGAAAATTACTCAAATCACATTAAGATTACATCACTAGAAAGAAATAATACGTCAGCTCAATTGCAGGTCTTTATTCATTATTTGAATTCCGTCTAGTTTCTTCATCTTTTTTAATAATTACAATATAGTATAATTGGACGAAAAACTTTACTGCCAAGAAGGCGTTCCCCCTCCATTTTGACCATCTCTTCCTTCGCATTCCAAGCTCCCCCCCCCCCCCCCCTTGAACCACACAGGTAGCCACACCGATTTTTTTTGTTTGAATCTGTTCTGGGAATATACTGTTTTAGAAATATTCTAAGAAGACCGGAGTTCTAACTTTTTRTCTAACTTTTGCCGCTAGATTTCGCTAAGTTTGCSTAAATTATCCACMCTCCAATTTTGCGAACTGATCAATATTTTAGAGGGTTTTTTCATTAAAGTAATACCTCCAGGATTTTTTTACTGTCATTGTACATAATTTTTTCGGGAAAAAATCTTTAGAATTTGATGCCATGGCAACAAATATGGAAATTTTTGGGAGGTCTGGGGACTAGCATGAGATCGAGGCTTCCACCATTTTGTTGCCTTGACAAACGCTGCAAAGAAACACACGAAGACGATTTGTATTATAAATTCGCTTGAACATTGCGTTCAAAAGGTCTAAACAGTCTGGTTTTTGTAATTTAGCAGCACTCATATTATCAAGAAGCCTACAGCAATAATTTTCATTTCAATAATCAAGTATTTTCGATAAAATGGTAAGTAACTTAAGTTACATTTTGATCGCCATTTGAATTTGCTTGTGTTTTGTGTCCTTTCTGCATTGTAGTTTGCATAAGCTTATATGTTAGTAATAAATAATCGTTGGTTTAAGGGATAGCTATATAGCATTCATCAGCATACATCTTACCCAATTGAGTGGAAAAATAAAGTATCTTTTTGTATTTATGCTTGAAATTGTCGTCTTTAAACCTATCTTGCCTGGCATGTCTAATGTTGTGTTGTGTTTTTAGTCTTCCTATAGACGAGTAAATCTTGGCCATGCTCAGCAACAGAGAATGCTTACTGAAAACAGACGAAAAGAAAATCAAAGAGAAGATCAACTCAAACGAATAACACARGAGAAAATCCTGGAAGCAAATTTAGCCAGCGAAGAAAAGATTGAGAATCGTAGATTTTTGAGAAAACTTCAACAAGAAGAACAAGAACGACAAATCAATGAGGCCATTATTAAGGTAGTTACGTTTATTGCTTGTATTTTTTACTATTAGTTATTTGTGTKGTTGTACTTTATTGAAAGGCGTAGTAGATGGGAATTGAAAATGAATGAAAAGTGAATGAGATGAAGAAAAGCAATCAAAACATCTTTACTTTATTATCTAGAATGAAGAAAGGCAAAGGTTAAAGGAACAACAACAAGAACAGGAACTACGCCTGGCAAGAGAATTAGAAAATATAAAACTTGAAGCTCAAAGAGATGAAAAACTTAGGCAACATATAAGAGAGAATAGGTATTGTTGAATAATAGCCAAAAATTGCTTTAATAGTTGCTAACCAACATTTTGAACTTGAGGGAATGATAACATGCTAAGCTTTTTGCTTTCATTCATAAAATGGTCAATTGCTTTATTTTACCTTACTTTTAATTGGATATTTCTCTTTTAATATTATTGCTATAATTAATGTTGTTTCTGCTAAAAGTAAAAGTATTGATAGTTCGTATAACCAATGATMTTTGATTTATTCAGCATTGAAATCCAAGAATTACAAGCAAAACTCAAGGCTGGTTACATGAATAGAGAAAGAGCAGCTCAGTTATCTGAACGACAAGTCATGGAGCTTGAAAAACAGGTATCATTTTACTCTTTGAAACCCTTCAATCATGTTTARATATACTAAAAAGATTTSTTTGACCAGAAAAAAGAAGATGAAATTAATCGCAAAATGGAGGAAGAATACAAACGCGCCCTTGTTGTCGAAAGAGAGAAAGAAAAACAAAGATGGGAAGAAAGTGTTCGCTATCAGAGTGAACTTGAAAAGCAATTAATGGAGAAAGAAAAACGAAAACAAGAAGCTTATGAGGAGTTCCTTAAAGARAAACTTATGATTGATGAGATTGTAAGGAAGATTTATGAGGAAGATCAAAGGTGAGTTTATTGTGTACTTTCTTCTTAGATAATGACATACTAGAAGTTGGCTAACTTGTRTGTTCAATCCACCAGGGAAATCTCCAACCGTCTTGAAAAACAAAGAGCTACTCAGCGTTATATTGAAGAATTTAAAACCAAGAGAGAGGAGGTAAGAATCTTGTACTGTTATTTGTACACAAACATGCAGGAAYTGCTGTAATAATACATAAATTTGGTTTTCAGTGGAAACAACGTGAAAAAGAACTTATGGAGGAAGAAAATCATCGYATCCTTGAGTTTGCACGGCTTCAACAGCAAAGAGAAGAAGAGAGAATGGAAAAACAGAAACAACAAGAAGAAGAAATGGCTACAGTACAAAAGAATGTAAGCACTTTTGTACAAATTAGTGTACTGAATTATCTGTTAATTARATTGTTCTTGTCTTTAAGAAACTATCTTTGAACTTGACAATGATTATAATCTTATTTTATAGCTTGCKGACAAGATTAAAAGTGAGCAAGAAGAGAGAGATGAACTAGAACGGTGAGTAACTGTTGTACATATACCTAGGATATATAGGAGTGCACTACATATATTTCTGCTAAGGTACTATTTTAAGTTCACTATCTTGCACACTATACCTATTGTAGGATAGATAAGATTATCCTCCACACTTTCTGTATTGATTTTTAAAAAGAGAACAACACCCTTCAGTTTTGACATGTTTCGGCAATCAATCACTTAACTCAAATATTTAATGGTACTTGTTTGTGAGTACATATATAAGAATTAACATAGAGTATTGATTTTATTTCTTGTCCCTTTGTACAACAATTACCTGTAGTTTATAGAGATCTTGTTTGCTAATAATCTAATGACTGTTCTCTTTCCAGTATTCGCCTTGAGTTGCATATGGAAGAACAAGAAGAAATGGAAAGACAGAAAGAAATGGTAGGAATTTTATTAATTTTCTCATTTATTCATTTACTTAATTTTTGTCAAAAAGTATTACTATTTGCCTTTTGTATTATGTTCATCGTCATGTCATCATTATTATTGTAATTAGTAACATGACAGTTTTTATTCATCACAATATCATCTTAAATCAAGATTGCTAATCGCTGTTATTTTCACATGATAGATGGACATYGAAAACAAAATWCGCCAACGACTTGACCTGCAAGAAACAAGRMGACAGCAGTTAGAATTCAAGGAGCAAAAGCTTCAAGCAGAGAAAGAWGAGGAGGAGGAATTCAGACGAAAGGTAATAATGTGATAACAGTTTATTAAAGGATGGAAATATGGGGAAAATAAGGGATTGGAAAGTTGTTTCATGTTGATAATATGAAGTAAAGCATGCAATATTTCTATGATAACCGTCAGACTAATACATATATTATAAATTGTGTTCAGATGTTGGAGAAGTTTGCTGAAGATGATCGTATTGAACAAATGAATGCCCAAAAGAGACGAATGAGACAACTTGAACACAAACGAGCCGTTGAGCGTCTAATTGAAGAAAGAAGACAGCAGAACCAGAGAGACAGGGTAACATACTTTTGGATAATAATATGTAYTATATTATTTATTTTACAAAGATATCATGTACAGTCACGTTACGTTAGGCAATGTCGTGACAGAAAGCGTAACGCAACGTGACTGCAATAGATGTGTAAAGTAGCGCAGTGTAACGCAACGTCAAGCACGCGGTAACTTGCCGTCACACAACGCTCAAGTTTTGTTTTRTGATCTACAGGAAGCTGAACTGCAAGCTCGTCAAGAAGAAGAAAGAATGGAAGCATTCCGCAAACAAATTATTGAACAAGAAAGACAAAGACTGCTCCGAGAACACGCCTCAAAGCTACTTGGTTATCTACCAAAGGTATTCATGATATGAAATGAGTTCAAGAAAGAACGTTATAGTTAATAAAATGTGTGYTTGTTYTATTTCAGGGTGTGTTACGAGATGAAGGGGATCTGGATCTTTTCGATGACGATTTCCGTACAGCCTACAAATCTCGTCATGTCAATCTATTTGACGAATTGACATCAGAATCTAGCGGTCAATGATCGCCTGTAAATAAAACCGTAGTATTGGTAATATTTGTAGGATAGCGTTGAAGGTTTTGTAAAATAATGATAAAATAGTACAATTATATTCCGTACGTCATTGATGGGTTAATGAAATAAAAACAAATGTACAGAATAATGTTGTTCTATGTCGTWAAGTCAAAAAAATTACTCCAAACCCGTGAAACTAATAGTCAAGGGGTGGCTACTAAGGTRTTGTCTGTTCACGGATTTATAGAGAWTGGCATCATTTTGAAKARTARAAAATGGWGGTTGTCAGACATTTGTTTACAAACTTTATTTATATGAACATAGTTTCACGATCATATAAATGGATTTAATTTAATTTCTRCAAACTCCAGACTCTCGTTGATTAGGTACTAAACAAGCTTTTAATTTTATAAAGGCGACTGCGTTAAGTAGCAAGCCCATTCTGAAAGCGTTCCATCTTAGCACCTTATACCATTAGCACCGCTATCTTTCAATGAATRCTTCAAACCGTGAATCATTAAAATGACTTCRTYTTGGATTCCTTTTTTTCGAGAGTATACACTTTACTTTGTCATTATTTATTGTTGATTTGCAATTTGTATGTTTTGAAAACGTAATCATCACGCGAAAAAGTAGCTTAGTTTCCGCAGGAAGAGGTCACGATGTTGCCTGGTGGTCTGGCTACCAGTTGAATGTACCACTAGTTAGAAGATATAAACACATTGCCCTATGGCCATTAGAGACAAGTAAAGCACCTTGCAACTACATGAATAAATCATTACCTTACCCTTTGTCTTCACAAATCACGTCTTTTTCTCTTCATGGACTTTAATATATTTGGAAAAATTATTGTTTACCAGCAACCATTGGTTTGATTAGCTGAGGAAGTCGTTAAAAAACAAAAAAAGAAGATAATTGCAGTGACTGGGCTGTGCCCCATGGTTGTCGATCGGTTGGTCTTTTTGCGGGAACTCGACTGTGCAACACATCAATCAGACTCTACAAAAAATCAATAAGTTACTGCTTCAAAGTTACTCGCGGGCAGTAAACTCATTCCTACTGAAAAGCTGGAATATCAATGAAGAATCGATCRAACGTTCGAAGTGATTCATAAGAAGAGTCGATCWAACGTTCGAAGTGATCTATGTGACGAATCGATCAAACGTTCCAAAGMRTAGAATCATCTGGTTGGTGTAGCGTAAAGACATCGTATCAAGTTCATTGTTTGTTGCTGTGTTCAGGAAGAATTGAAAGATAATGGTTGTGCCTTTAGTAGCTTTATAATGGTGGGCTTTGCTGTTTTATTGCACTCAAAATTGATATGTTCCATGTTGATTCTATAGCCSTTCGACATAACTTACAGYTTGACTAGCTCGATTATGCACTGTTTTACAGTGTTGTTCACATTTAGTGTTATCTGCGTTTATGCAGTCAACTGTTTGCAAGGTAATATACCTGGTATTTTGTTATCTTTAACGATTCCTGGTGAATAAACTGYTGCTGTTTTTCTCTGTAGATTGTGTTGAACCTGATACAAGGGTTATYGCTCGATGGAAAAATGGAAACTATTATAAAGGAGTCGTRGAATCGTTGACAAATGTCATCGGCGTCTTGTTTGATAATGGAAATCGACTTACCTATAACTTACACAATAATTATGATATAATTGAAGACAGAATACCAGATGAAAGAGAGGTACTGCAAACAAACATGCACTCCAAGAAAATACATGAAAWCTATATTGCTTTATTGACGTGCAGGCAGTYACASCTTTGCAAATAGCCAACTTACAGTTCAAGATCCACAGTGATTCATTTGTCATGCGCAGTGAGAATAGACAATGCTTTTATTTGTATAGTGCCATCAAATATCGTCATCATYATATCGTATTCTATACCATAACTAACGGTATCTTTGCTACCATCAATCGTGATGATCTTTTAAGAACTCCCCTAGATCATATCCACCAACCCCTSRTCCGTTGMCAAACGAACTTCTGAAAGACATTTGTGTTATTTTTCCAGATCAAATGGGGAGATCCAGTCATTGTAAATCGTCCTCATTCCTTTGCCTACAAACCTGCTCACATAAGAGAGATCGTTGATGGACGGTACATGATTTGGTATGATGATGGTTCATACATTTACCAAACCAAGAATGATATCAGAGTTTACAATAGATCTGGTGTTTGCAGTAAGTGCGATTATCACTTTTGTACCTATTAGTTGCTCCATCTGACCACGCCTTGGTGAGAAAGTGTTATAGTTTGTTGTACTTGGTAATCCGCATTGTAGCGCTCTGGATGCAATAAGTCTGATGTATCCGTTAGATTTTGAATTTAATTTAACTGATATTTGTGATATCTCGGATTTAGTGTCTCTATTCTAATAAGATTTTCTGTTCATGTGTTTTCAGATGAGCCAGCATAYCTCGGTTGCTATCGTGATCAAGTACCAAGGTATCTTACTGTCTTCATYCCGACAAAACCAGCTACTGTAGGCGCATGCGTAGATATGTGCAATGCACAGGGTTTCAGTATCGCGGCTCTTCGAAACAGCGACTTGTGTTTCTGTGGGAATGCCTACAACAAAGGTTACCAAGTAAGTCGTGTCGTGTTTACAGTGTTGGGAGGGTACAGGAATACATGTTGAAGTAATTGAGTTTATCTGGGTTCAGAACTTTAAACTATATAAACATACCATTGACAAGTAAATGAAGTAGTAGCAGTAGCGCAAGTTAATTCGTATGGATCATGTTATACTCCTGCAGACTGATAACGAGAAATGTGACACGCCATGTTTTGACAACCCTTACGAGATGTGTGGCGGAGTCAGCACGTTTTCACAATATTGGTCAGGTAAATTATGATAATAACTTTGCTGGTTGTAAAGCAATCTTTTATGGCGTTGGCACTGGTAGAAAACGTTGAATTTTTCTTTTAATAAAAACAAACAGCGTCCAATAATTCAACATCATTTTGTTTGCAGGAATCGTAGGAGATTCTCCCGCACATTTGCCTGGTGGTGAGTACAATCATAAATGATCATCTTAACCTACGCACCAGCTCACCTCTTATCCCTTCCTTTTCACACTGCAAACCTCTAGAGGTACGCCTTCTCCCCACTACCTCTAGAGATACGCCTTCTCCCCACTACCTCTAGAGGTACGCCTTCTCCCCACTACCTCTAGAGGTACGCCTTCTCCCCACTTCCTCTAGAGGGTTGATCCTGGTCTTCCTCCCGGTGATTCTAAAACTTCTAAAACTCTGTAAATCAAAAACAGTACAACTAAATATGTTTTTGTTATGTTTTTAGGACTTTCGGCGCAAACAGCGCTTCACATGGATCCCTATGGCTTTCGTCCTTCKTACACTACTGGTGCGTGAACATCACATTATGAATCTATTTTACTTGCTTGCTTATCTTTCATGATTCAGCTGATATTCTCCGCCTGGGATTCTTCTCTATAGTTGCTGTGGGTTTATGATGGTTACTTACAGTCGGTGAATGTCTTATTTTTAGCAATAACAAAACAGAACATTCCWCGATATGGCAAGCTACCATGGAAGAGCATCTTGCAAGGTAAAGAAGTGTCATCTCTTGAGCGCGAGCAACTTAATTAAGACGTAGTTTATATGTAGTAATACTTAGCGTAGGCCGATTAGTGCCCGTAATAAGTAAATATCTCTAGCCTAGGTTTCTAAGTCATTATAGAGGCACGCCTCACTTGTAGTTCTAAAATGTTGAGGTCACTGGTATGCCATTACTTGGTTAGATTCTAGTACATTCTCTTTATTCCATGTAATTTCATTTGTTGTACGTATTCTTTTAAAGCTCGTAGACGATCCAAAGCACCCGTGTCATTGGCTAATCAGTCACCATGGAAATGGGATCAGAGGACATCATCATGGGTGAGAGCTGACGGCAAGCACTTCCACTGGAATAAAAACAAACTAATCGAGGATAGAATGGGAACTAGTAGCTTCCAGACCTCCGCTGTTAATAAGCAATGGACTCAAAAGCTCTGGYCATCCGGTACTCTAACTGACATGATATTAAAGACTTTGATGACACTTGAGTCTTATCTATGTTACTTTTCTTTAAGCTCCTAAACCATCCTTTGTCCCAGCTCCTGGTTTGATTGCTGCTTCAGGTCCTGTCCAAGCTCATGGCCCTTTGAACAATGGAATATTACAACCAGTAATTGGGAGAACAAAAGCACCCATACCTGGTCAAGGTAGTGTGTGAATTTCTTCTTTCAGTACTTTKAATTKYSAATGTAGAATAACATTCTATTTCTGGTTAGGTTTTCAGCAATATAAAGCATGGCATACACCATCTAGACAAACTGCTGTCAAGTACATGAGTAAGTTATTATGATTATGTTACATCAATGCATTTTAACGATGAATTTTATGATACTGATTATGTGTATTGCAGATGAAGCGTTTGCTGAGACCTTCACACCGCAACTCGTGCTAGAAAAACTTGCCGGTAAGAACGACAAAAGCACTCCTTGCAAAGTCCAAACACCTTCGCTATCCTACTAGCCAAATTATTGTATGGCGTCAAAGTGGGCTTAGCTAATTAGCAATAGTAATCCATGATTCAAACTTTCAGACAAAATGGCGCATGTCAAATGGAGTAAGCTGAGTAACTTTCAGCAGGAGTTCAAAGCTCTTCCTCCAGGTAAAGTTCTAGAACAAATCATCGTAATTAATGATATCAAATGAATGTTACTGTTAACTTTTCCTTCAATGGTGATTAAAAAGACATCAATTCATTTAATTCTTAGGTATAAATAACCAAAGTATCATCGCGTTTTTTATTGTAGCTCCTAAAAGCTTCCGTTATCTTGGCTGCTTTGCTGATGATTATCAAAGAGATCTTCCATTTTCGATGCCTGTATATCCGCTGACCTCGAGATCTTGCATACTCAAGTGCCGCGCACTTCGGTTCTCGGTGGCTGGGATCCAGGACTCCTCGCAATGTTTCTGTGGCAACTCTTACAGCAAATATGGRCGAGTCAGAGAGGAGGAATGTAATATGAAGTGTGCAGTCAGTCAACGGGATACCTGTGGYGGAGTGTTGAGAAATTCTCTTTATTATACAGGTAATTGACGCAARAGAATCATGCTTTGTTCAGGGTTTTCTTGAAAACAATCTTAAATTATRCTCCACATGRCTCAATGYTTTTRYTCTTTCAGGAGTTGGCTCTGCCTGGCCTATAATGAAAGGTAAAGCTTTTCAWGTTGTTTTCTATATTTTTAACAACCAACAAAATTAACRCTGTTTACTTTCCAGCTCCTAAGAAGTCTYCTACGATCTTCCACTCGTCAAAACYTCATAAAACGGATCCATCACGTGATATCACTGTGAAAGTTCCTGGAAAGGTCACGTCAGTTACTTACGCCAGAGTACCTGAAAAACATATCAAACACGCTTCAACAGTAAAAGAAACGAAGCAAAAAGTAAAAAAGAAAACAAAAAAGAAACTCAAAGCAAGAAACAAGATTATKAATTCACCAGCAAAAYCATCCAGTGATCTCGACGACTTTAGGGTTGAATCMATCAAAGTCAAGCTTAATTTCTCTGAGTTGAAGAAAGCTTTGAAAACAATGTCRCCTTCGATTGTCAGACGTATACAAGAAGATCTTCAGAAGATCAATAAACTAGAAAGTCAAAAAGAACACGATAAAAATGCAAATAATACTGGTGGAGAACCCGTGAARGCAAAGAGTGCAAACGTCAGCACTTCTGATTACAACAAACAGATGAAAAMGATACGAGAAAAGCTTGATAAAGTACCAATAAACCGTTTGACAACACAAAATATGAAAGATATCTTRAAAATTATGAAAGTTCCTGAATCAAGTTGGAATGTTACGACYAATGTTGTACATCATGATGGCAAAACGCCKCATGCAAACARYTCTTCATYGGTAAAACACRGAGACGGAAATGTTGCTCATGAAGAAATTGAAAGTTACGCTAAAATATCACTTGATTTTCCTCTCAAACCAGCAAGAGAAGATGCRGAYGAYGAGGATAGTTTTAACAGAAAGAAACAATTGCTAAACATTATTGCCAAACATATATCGGCTAGTCGTAAAGACGCTGTCAAAGACTCTCCAACCAATCAAAAAGAGGCTAGTAAAAGCACTTCAACCAATCAAAAAGAGGCTAGTAAAAACACTTCAACTATTCACAAAGTCACTATCCGAAACAATTCAACCAATCCCAAAGATTCCGTGAAAAA